TTTTTTTACCAAAGGAAGAATCAGGGCGGACACATAGCTCTACCTTACATGCAGGTAGTTTAGTTCAAGTAAATGCAAATGCATTTATTGAGTCATGTCTTGGAGTTTGGGGAAAGACGATACACAGAGAAATAAAATTAACTGTCTTCCTTGAATTTAAATAGAATCTCATAGGTGTGCATTTAGAAAATAGAACTATATTTTTAAGGATGGGATTAAGCAGTCAAGGGAAAGGGGTAAAATATATGACTGAGATTTGGGGGACTGACTTCAAACTGCTTCCTTCATGGCTGTTAAATTTTGTGACCTTATTGAATAAAGTCTTCAATCTTCCCTTTTCCATTTGTAACTTGGAAGTAATTGTGCCTTTTATTCCTCATAGAATATTGAATGATAAGTGAAATACTAAAACAAGCAACTTAAGATTTTTTTTTTCAGGAAAAGGCCATTTGTAAATCCAAAGTATATATGCATTCTAGAAAAGCTTCATACCGTGTTACCTTCAGAATACAGAGTACTCACAGATTGAACCTGGAGTTGCAGGTCATTTTTCTCTTTCAAGAGAGTGACCATTTTTTCTTCCAGTTCCTTCCTTTTGGCTTCTGACTTGGCAAGTTCATCTTTGATTTTCTGGAACTCTTCCTTCATGGTGGCCATCTCCTTCTCAGTCTCTGCACTTTTGAGGAGGGGCTTGATCTTGAAGAATAGTTTCATCCAGGGCCAATGCTTGACATTCATGAAGGCGCGGACATTATACTGGATGCAGAAAAGGGCTTCTCTGAAATGACATAAAAATTATCAGTGAAGATCGATCCATTAGAGGCAATGTTATTGTTATTATTATTTATTACATACAACGTCCCTTTTAATGAATGCCCACACATATAAATGATATGTCAAATCCTATATATATTATATGCAGGCTTTACACATGTACACACACGCACACTCATGCTTATGGTCAGTAGCCCTTAGTATAACCACTTTGCTAATGTGAACACTGTTCCTTTGTTCTCAGTCTCTATCAAACTTAGCAAAGAAGCAAGAACACTTATCATGCAGACCTAAATAAGTACAGATGACTAAAATAAATGCAAAATGTATGTGTAAAGAGAGGGATTGCAGTAGTGTAAGGTAGATAAGCTGGGTGAGGGGTTATTACAGGAAGGGGGAATGGAATTTTTGAATTGGCAAATAGATAAATTAGGGTGAGGGGAGAGGGCTTGTGCATACAAGAGAATAGGAGATAAGCAAACCATTTAGCCTAGCTGAACAAGGCTGTGTGGTTGGAAATGATAGATGAGGTGGGGAATAGAGAGTGCCTCGACAGCCAAGCAAAGCAACTTGGATTTGACATGGGATACCATGGGGAGCCACCAACTGAGATACGGTGTGATGAAAATAATGCATACTGCAAACTCTTCCTGCAGCTACACGTGAGGTAGATGAAAAGGGAGAAAGTGGAGGCAGGAGAGAAGTTCTGGAGGGAATCCAAGTGTGAGGGGTGAAGCAAAGGCTGAAGTGTTGTAAGGGTGAATTCTGAACTGGGTGAGAGGCACATATTAGCCACAAAATGGTAGAATTAAGAACGACCTAAGGGACCATATAATACTGATATTCCGTATGGTGGTTACCTCCTTTGTAACATCTTTTGATATTCTACCCTCATTAGGTGTCCCCTACAGACAGCCTGAGTTCTTGTTATAATCTGAGCCAACTTTTCATCTCTCATTTCTTCCAGAAGACCTAGAAGGCCAGCTTTGAAGAAAACCTGGAGAAAGGAAGAGTCACAGATCATCCCCATACTACAGGAGACACAGAAATGGCAGACAGTACTTGGATCAGTGTAAATAAATAACAGCGGTACCTTGGTATGTCCAAATTTATATTGGGTATGATCTATATCAATAGAGGCAAGAAGTTTCTCAGAAGCCTTTTTGCTGTCAATGAATTGTCCCTCTGGAATAGCACTTGCATTTAAAACCTTGTATCTGTTCAGTTAAACAAAGAAAGAATGGTTAGTTAGAAAGGTGAGATCACATATGCAAACCAAATGACACCAAAAAGAAATACCAATAAAAGTTTGAAAGCAAAGTAAATGTTGAAAATCCAACTGTCCTTTAAGGTCAGATATTAAAACAATATGATTTTCTGTTGCATGCCACCTTCCTGTTCTTCTAATCTGTTATTCTGTCCTATTATCATAAGACTATATTATTTCATTCCTTAATTTTTTGATGTATACTAAGCAGAATACATGAAATACAATGAACAGAAGACCACAATGAAGAAGGTAAAATATTCACAGAATTAAGTGAAATACAACAAAGAGGACTGACCTTTGTTTAAAATCCCCATATAAGATTCTGCTTGGGAATCCTTTCCTGCAGATGCGGATGCCTTCTAGCACACCATTACACCTCAGCTGGTGCAGGACAAGTTCATGTTCCATTGCCCCTAAAAATACAGAAGAGTGCTTACTACCAGGCACTGAATTTCCAAACCTATGCCTGTTTGATTATCTCATGCTCTTGTCTTACCAGGAGTTTTGGTTTCATTGGGAATAATACATCGTACGAAGTGAGGATGTGTGGACCTCAGATTGGTCATCAGTTTATTTAAATTTTCCTAGAAAACCGGTTAGAAAGGACTTGATGAGAAAGTTATATTTCAGAAAGCTTTTTTGTAATTATATAGAATCAACCTAGGCATAAGCCTATAAGGCTTTAATTGCTCTGTCTTTTGAAGGTCTCAAGAGTTGTAGCCTGCCAAATAACCAGAAGTCCAAAGTGCTGGGGAGAAATGATCTCTAAGGTATTTATAACACCTAGGATCTGTCTTATAAACAAACTTCAAATTCAGTAGCCTTGATCCACAGGAAGTATTTTCACCCAAGAATCAGAAAGACTAAAGACTATGGCCTCATTCTGTCACTAATGAGCTCTGCCTGACTCTATAAAATCCTTTTTGTCTCTCTGGGCCTCATCTGAAAGTAGTTGAGATTATCTCTAAGGTCTCTTTTGTCTCTCTCAGTGCTAATAATTTTCACAGTAGCTGTTTACAGTGGTAACCTAGGTTAGTAATTTTCCTAACATTTACCATTCCTTCCTTGAATTTATTATTCTCCGGGACCTCTAATCACTTTCTATGTTTTGTTTTTTGAAGAGTCTAAAATTGTGAGACTTGTCTGGGTGGATCTTGGGTACCTGAGAATGTCTACAGTCCGAAGCATATCGAGAGAGTTATTTCAGAGGTAGAGTAATGGATAATGACAGAAGATGATGTTTTCCTCAGCCATAGAAAACTCACATGTAAATATTTCTTAATATTCCTTAGGTATACGCTTTAAGAAGGCAGATTTTTTTTTTATTTTCTCATCTCAGTTAGACGTTAGGAAATAAAGAAAATAAGTAATGTGAATTTCCAATCTTGAAAACATCTACAAGGACAAGTTGATGAAACTTTAAGGGTCTGTCTGGTGAGATAATGCAAATTGGTACTGAGAAAGGAAAAAACAAGAACAGTTTTCCTGTTTAGGTCACAGGTCATAGATCATATCTGCATTTTAATTTTAAAAGGAATGAGACTTAGCCATACAAATTCTGATAAACCAGTCATTAGTCCAGACATTTAGCACACTGCCCTTTGGAAGAGCCAGTTTTTAAGCCATATCAGAAAATCATACTATTTTGAAGTGAAATTATTATTATTGTTCTTTTAATCTCAAGAGATGTTTTTTAGTTTGATCATCCATTTAAATTACTAGGCTTGGGTTTAGATGATTTTAGTCTATCATAAAAAAATTAAATCTACCTCAGAGGACAAAGATGTGTTTTGGTGGAAGGTGTTTTGTTTTGTTTCTAAAGTGTGTATCTCAGGCTCATTCTCAAAGAGGAACTCAGGAACATTCTCAAAGGGCAACATTACTGGAATAAAAATGTGACCCTCCACAGGGACACATTTGAAGTTCAACTACACTTCTTTAAAAATAAGCCTCCTTATATAATAAAAAACATTTTGGCATTCCTGTATACATTAGGTCATCATAATAAGGAATAATGGGTAAAGCATCCATCTTTAAAGGAGCACTATTGCCTCGGCTATACTCTGATGCGAGTGAATGAATATAAACATTTTGGCATTCCTGTATACATTAGGTCATCATAATAAGGAATAATGGGTAAAGCATCGATCTTTACAGGAGCAGTATTGCCTCGGCTATACTCTGACGCAAGTCAATAGTGCCTCGGCTATACTCTGATGCGAGTGAATGAATATTTGGAGTGGTTCCTACTAACGTTGCATTCCCTCCTAATTTATTCTAAATCCTATAATTATGATAATTCATTGAAACTAAATACATTTTTTGAATTAAATTTGTACTTTACCCTGAAAAGGGCTGACACAGTCTGGAAAGAAGAGCCCTTCTTCTTAGCACCTTTCTTTGTGCCACTGTCTGAGGTCAAGAGAAAACACATCAATTAGAGTGAAATCCCAAAGCCTGGAATGTTACATGAACACTCTGTGGGAGAAGATTTAATTTAGATTAAGGGCACAGAAAGTACCTGCTTCAGCGTTAGCATATGTGGAAAAGAGACTGGCCAGAGTCTTCATTGCAGACTTCCGGTACAGCCCAACTACGGTGTCATTCAGAGGGTCCTTATTTTTGTCAAGCCAGCCACTGATGTTGTAGTCCACAGTGCCAGCATAGTGAATCAGGGAGAAGTGGGCTTCGGCCTTGCCTTTGGTAGTCTTGGGCTTCTGGAAGTTGGCAGACTTGCCCAGGTGCTGGTCATACATCTTGTTCTTGAAGGTGGTATCTGTTGCCTTGGGGAACATGCACTCTTCTTCCAGGATGGAGAAGATGCCCAGTGGCTGAATTCAGAAAAGTAGACGTTGGTGTCAACCTAATTTCTCTCAAAAAATGTAGACACCTATATCTATATATAGGTGCTGAATTATGAGCACCCCTGATTAAATATATATATAAAGTAAACCAGGGTCATAGCCCAAAGAAGTCCCTTTGTTATCACTAGAATGACTTTTTCATCATTTATTCTCCCGTTCAATCTGTAGTATTATTTTCACTTAAAAGAATAGCTGGATACAAATTCCATATGTCAGCACAGCATGAGGAGGTGATTTGTTAAAATGTTTTGTATTTATCACATTTTTTTTGTATTAAATGAATAAATCTATTGCCAAATTTTATTTCACTACTAAAGGTACTTACTGACTTAGAATGATTTTGACTCTGTGCAATTATTAAACAATGTAAGTAATCTAAACCTTAATATATTTTGTGTACTTTACCTCCTTAAAGATAGATCATGAAGTTGCATGAACAATTTGACTTCTTGACTTTGAACAGATTAGTTTTTAAACAAGCACTAGCTGTATTATTTATGCATTCATTTTTATTTAGTAAGAATATTTATTTCTGTTGCTGACACCTTGAATCATAAGGAAGACAGATTAAGAACTAATGATGGTAGTTCTTCTAGTGAAGCAGTCCATCTCAGATAGAGTTTTCAGTGCTACTTTAAAATTGGATTTGAGTCATTGTTAGAATAAAACTGGTTAGAACAAAAGGAAACTAAACATTCTGAGATCTTTTTTATATAAAAGTTGAAAATAGTAATTTTCCAATTTGTTCAGATTTCAAAATATTTGAGATTACAGTAATACTTTCCAGACTTGTTTAAGATATCTGGGAAAGTTATCTTGACAGTCTAACCTTTCTTTAGAAGTCAAACAGACCTTTTCAATGAGCTCAATGCAGGCAGCCAGGTCCATCCCAAAGTCGATGAAAGTCCACTCGATGCCTTCCTTCTTGTACTCCTCCTGCTCCAGCACGAACATGTGGTGGTTGAAAAACTGTTGCAGTTTCTCATTGGTGAAGTTGATGCACAGCTGCTCCAGGCTGTTGAGCTGAACAAAACAGTAGAAATTTCCAACATTAAATGGATTTTTATAGTAGTAAAATTCATTACTAAAAAAATTCTTTTATTGAAGTAATATGGATTATAGTAATGAGATACAATTTAAACTAATTGTTGTTCCTTCAGAATTCCTAGGGGGAGAAAAAAGGATTATTATTGACATCAGCCTTTCTCTTGAATTCTGGGCATTATTTAGGGACTCAGATATTAATTACACAATGAGAGTTCTGGTAGAGTCCACCTCGTTTCACCTCTAAGATTGCATGGCTAATAATAAATATTAAAAGTGCCATCATAGTCCTGTTTGTTATGGCTCAGATTTAAGGGTAAAGGGGAAAGTAATTTATTGGAAATCCAAATATCTTTTACCTCCCCACTCTCCAATTTGAGATAAACTTCACATTTTCGTCTTTGGCTGTCTCGTTGTAAGCAAAGCTTATCTTAAGACCTTCAGCTGATATATAAAGTGAAATGAATGGGCTAATTTCTCTTCTATTCATATCAAACATTTGGCAAACCCCTTTTGTCAAGTCTGTGAAAGTAGGGACCCGATGTAGTGCAGCAGATGAGGATCTAAAAGAGTCTTTGCAATAATTTTTTTTTCTCATTTTATAGATGATGAAGTCTATGCCTTGGAGGTGAAATAGTTTGTGTAAGATAAGCCTGGAAGAGGAGAGACTATCATCTGTCTCTAAGGCTCTACCTTTGGGCCCTTTCTCCTCTATGGAAGATGCCTTGTTTATGGAACAAATGCTACAGATCTGGGTTCCTGTCCTGGCTTTTATCTTATACTCCTGTGGGATCTTTAGCTAGTGTTTTGACTTTCCTGTGTCTCAGTTTCCACATATGTAATTAGGGGAAATATTAGTTACTCTTTCTTGCGTTGTTTAGAAGATGAAATGAGAAAACATCCTAAAATCCCTAGTATAGTGCCAGAAATACATATGTTCAATAAATTATCATTACATTTTATTACCTCCTCAATATTTTGGAGATTGCTTTTATTCTAGGTGCAGTGTTGGAGCAAACAATGTGGACATTGTAAATGTAAATGAATAATAATACCAAGTCTATCAAAGCCCACAATGCCTCCTTCTTACTTTTTGTTAATAGGAGTATAACTCACATCAAAGATCTCAAATCCAGCAATGTCCAAGACCCCGATGAAGTACTGCCTGGACTGCTTGGTGTCCAGCTGCTGGTTGATGCGGGTGACCATCCACAGGAACATCTTCTCGTAGATGGCTTTGGCCAGAGCACCCACCGAATTGTACACCTTCACAGATAAAGTCATGTTTGTTGGTGTTACTAAATACATGTTGTGAAAGCCTGGGATGTGTGTGATCATTGGGGTTGTGCACTTACCTGCTGCACAGTTTGGCCTTTAGTGACATATTCATTGCCGACCTTGACCCTGGGGAAGCAGAGGGCTTTGAGCAGGTCAGCAGAGTTCAGACTCTGTAGATAGGCTGCCTTGTCAGCAACTGCAGAGACACAATTCAGGAAATGCTGTTTAATGATGAATAGCCTCTTTAACTTAATCTTTCCATTTTCCTCCAACCCAATTTTTTAATTATTTAATTAGAAAGCTCTAAGTAATTCTATGGAAGGTAAAAGGAAGATCTCTGTACATTAGAACATGTACTTGCCACTAGATTGTCAGTTACACTGCCCTTTAGTGATTTATTGCAAGTAGATTTTGAGAAATTTTTCATCAACCATAAACATATGTCGAGTGTTTATTATAATATTTTAGGCAAGGTAAAAACCATAGTCCTTGCTTTTAGGACACATTAGGTGTAGTTGGAAGGATAAGATAAGTACAGTTTAATAGTCACTGTTAGGGAGAGGTAACAGTTAGAATATTTGGATTCTTATCTTAGTTTTAGCTTCCCAATTTAACCTTACTGAATTGGTTACTTTATCTGAAAATGTGGGGAATAAATTCCACTGGGTGATTCTCTACAGAGTCCCTTTCTAAAATTCTGTCGGTGACTGTAATGTGAATGCCACATGTCAGGTACAAAACTAACTGCTGAAAAGCTTAGAGGAGGCAGAGAGAACGTCAAGCTGGAGTGGTCAGGAAAGGCTTTAAGGAGCAGAGGACTAGCTTTCCGTGGTAGGTCCTCTACATTGCTAGCTTTCCGTGGTAGGTCCTTTCCATAGGTAGAGTGTATGAGTTTTCTTTCTCAATTCCTTTTGTGTCTTGTTTGCTACCTATGTTGTCTACAGGTATATATGTAGATCACACACACGCATATAAATATCTTTAGGGGCATCCTTCACCCCTGGCCCTGTGTTTGGGCAGATCATCTATTGCCAGCTACTAGGTTTTCCTAGCTAGTGCTAAAGTAGACCAATATGCAAAGTTATCTTACATACATTCCCAGCATTGCCAAGGCAAAGCAGGAGCACTATTCCATCCCATTCTTTCATGTGGCCCTAGGTTGTGCTTATAAGTGGCTGTTGATGTTCACTGTAAATTGTTTGGGGTGGATAGAAAAGATGGAGATACGGAGATGTGAAGAAGGGAGAGGGAGAGAAAAGCAAGCAGTGGTGCCCTTCAGAAGTCCAGCCACAAAGGAGATGTGAGTGTAGAATAGGATTTTTTTTTTTCTTTCTGTATTCTCTGTTTCAAACCCAGATGGAGGTTCAATTGGTACCTTCAGTGCCATCTGGCTCCGCTTGCTCCTCACGCTGCTTTTGCTTGAATTTCATGTTCCCGTAATGCATCACAGCCCCCGTGAGTTTATAGATGGATATTTTCTCTTCAGGAGTGAAGCCCAGGATGTCAATGGCACTCTGCCAGGAGAAACGATAGGACGAAGGTTAGGGAAGAAAAGACTAACTTATTTAGGAGAATTTACATTATATCCTTAACCACACCTACAGTGGATTGCCATTATCACTCCCATACATAATGGATTTTTTAAAAAGTGTATGTGTGACTTACATCAGTGGCCATCAACTCTTCTTGGTCATCAATACTGGGGACTGTGATCTCACCCTGACTGACGAAGGCATAGTCGTATGGGTTGGTGGTGATCAGGAGCATTTCTAGATACATAGAATTCAGGTGTTTGTTTTACATTAGAAATTGTTAATGAAACTATAACTTCCATCTATGAATTTAAGTTCTTTCTTACCAATTAAATCTGGCTTCTTATTGGAAGTGATCTGATAAAAAATATGATAGCTTCTTTCTGCCTTTAGCTGGAAAGTAACTCTAGACTTTTCTAGAAGATCTGGAAAGAGAGGGAGATAGATATTGAATTAGAAAAGAGAATCAATGCTTCTGAAATATTAAATGAACCTCAGTGTCTTTAGCCAAAATTGGGGTCATTACATTTGGCTCCATTGAGATTTCAACTTGATAGTCAATTCTGTGGTTGTCCATATTAGAATTGCATATGGCAGTTGCTCATGGTTCTCACCATCTAAGAGCAGAAGCTGAGGCACCTACTCCAGGACAAATATATTTTTCAAATGGAGGATCTGCAACCTCTGTATTTTAGTTGATCCTAACTATCCCCTCCTTTCTTGGATCACCTCAGATTTACTCAGTGGTGAGAGGCTACCTTGGAAACATCTACCAAAGTTCGGATCAAGAGCAAATCAGAGAGATCTATTGTGAACCCATAGAAAACTCATAGGAACCAATAGACAGCCCTAGTATTTGTCCTGGGAAAAAAATTGTAGTTGCTTCTGAGGCGGAAATTCATTTAGGATGTGCTATAGAGCCATCAGTCTGCGACTGAGATAAACAGAGCACATAGCGGATTATGGATAAATGGCATTAGCTCACAGGCATCACTGGCAGCAGACCGCTGTTCTACAGGCTTTATGCACAGCAAGTGTTGAAAAATATCCCTGCAAAGGAAATCACTTGTCTCTCTGTTCTGATTTTCAGTGGTCCTCTTACTCACATGTTTCGATATCAGCAGATGCCAGCTTTCCTGTAGTACCGAAGTGGATTCTAATGAATTTACCCTTGAAAAGATAAAGATTATTTAGTATTAAAAAACTGAAGCACACAGAGAGAGGCAACTGAAATAATAACAGACATAGCTACTCTGACGTTTAATGGCTGAGAAGACCCCACGGAGACCAAGAGACTTACAAAGCGAGAGGAGTTGTCATTCCTCACAGTCTTGGCATTGCCAAAGGCCTCCAGTAGGGGGTTGGCGCTGATGATTTGATCTTCCAGAGTCCCCTGCAAAGGAAAGAGCAGCTCTCACACCCAGGGCCTCAGACTTCTGAGCCCTGACAGAGTCTTGATTCTGACTCTGGCCACCAGACCTACCTGCATTTTGCCAGGTTCTTCCTTCTTCTTCTCCCCAGTAACTGCAATTGTTGCAAAGTACTGGATGACACGCTTGGTGTTCACAGTCTTCCCTGCTCCGGATTCTCCGCTGTCAAACAGAAATCAGAGAAGAGATCAGAGCGGTGGCCCACATTGTCAGCATCTAAGACCATCACCACAAACCAGAGAAGAAAAAAAATTTGCATACGTGATCAGGATGGACTGGTTCTCACGATCTGTGAAAGAAATCAAGATCATCATTAAAAAACTCCACATTTAATATGAAGATTATTAAATTAAATTAGTTGAGATCAAACACAGCTTGTTCTTTTTGACTTTTTGAAGATGTTGCTTATGATTTTGGTTTTGAGTTTAGTCTCCAAAATAGCCAGTTGCCTCCAAATTTCCTCTTGGAGTATAATTTTTGAAAATGAATGGCAAAGAATCATCTATTTCTTTCTGTATTTTGTTAATTTTTTATACTGGTAAAGTACACATAACATAAAATTTACCATCCTGATCATTTTCAAGTGTATTAAGTACATTTATAATGTTGTGCAACCATCATTACCCTCAATCTCCCTGACTCCTTTCATCTTGTAAAACTGAAACTCTGTTTGCATTAAGCACTAACTGCTCAGTCCCCTGGCCCCCAACCCTTGGCCACCACTGTTCTACTTTCTGTCTCTATGAATCTGGCTACTCTAAATACCTCATATAAGTACAACCATACAGTATTTGTCTTTTTTGTTACTGGCTTACTTCAGTCAGCATAATGTTCTCAAAGTTCATCCGTGTTATAGCATATGTCAGAATTTCCTTCCTTTTAAATGCAGGATGATATCCCATTGTATGTATAGATCACATTTTGCTTATCCATTCATCCACTCATCAAATGTCCAAATGTTCAGACAGACATTTGGATTTTTGGGTTGCTTCCACATTTTAGCTATTGTGAATAATGCTGCCATGAATATGGATGTACAGATATCTCTTCAAGACCCTGCTTTCAGTTCTTTTGAGTGGAATTCCAGAAGTGGAATTGCTGGATCATACTGTAATTCTGGTTTTAATTTGTTGAGAAACTGCCATGTTTTCCACAGAGGCTGCACCATTTTACATTCCCACCAACAGTGAACAAGGGTTTCAGCTTCTTCACATCCTTGCCAACATTTGTTATTTTCTATTTTTTTGACATCTTCACAAGTGTGAGATGCATATTTTATTAATGTTTAAAACTTTCACTATGAAAAATTTGAAACATATACAAAAGTAGATTCAGTAATAAAATGAGCCCCTGTGTGCCCATCATGCAACTACAACAGTTATTAACATTTGGCCAATTTTATATCATCTGAACCCCATCCCAATCTCACCAGATTATTTAAGAACCCCCAGGCATTATATAATTTTATTTGTAAACACTTCAGTAAGAATCTTAGAATTTTGAAAACATAAGAATCTTAGAAATTTCTTAGGCCATTTCTTTCATTGAACAGATAAAGAAGCTGAGACCCAGAGAGGAATAAGTGACCTTTCTAATATTAATTACATAGCTAGTTAAGGTCAAAGATATTCAGGTCTTTTGACTTTCAGTTTATATATCTTTCTGCTGCCTGCTCTCCTCCCAGCTCTTGATGTCACTAGTTTGACTGCTGGTAATCCTAAATAAGTAAGGGGTCTGGAATCGTAAGTATTTGTGTTTATTTTTATTTTCCTTTTAGCCTTAATATACATTTATAAATAATAAAAACAAACATTGTTACTAGTTAAGTGACTGATACGTTATGTTTATATCAATTTTCTGACTGGTTAAATCTCTAATTCTATACTGATTATGGATGTTAGAGAATTCTAAAATCTAAAATTTATTCAGAGAAAATAAATATACATCTGGATGTTATTTA